GAACTTATCCCCACCTCAATAGAAATCGGCAATTTTCTTCTACAAGGAATCGAACTCCACGAAATGAGTGGGCTGTTTTGCAGTCTTTCAAAAATCTTACCCCATAAACCGTCAAATTACAAAGTGCTTTGAAGACGGGAGGGCTCACTAACCTCTCATCGTTTGGACCACTTCCACAAATTATCCAGTGCTTATTGATGAACCTCAGAGAAGCGATTACACTGTTGCGCATGATCGAATTCCATCTGAAAAATTATGAGTACTTCAACCGGATGCCAATCGCAAAAGAAGAATTTTTTATAGCTTTTTCCGACTCCAATTTCCACCTAATTTCATATCAGTTTGAAGTTTGGACTTCTGTTGTGGCCAAGCGAAATTCGGCAGAAAACTGTCGGAGAAAGGTGGTTGTTACATTTCTTTTCTGCTCACTTATCGACAGCAAGACTTTGGTGGACATCAAAAATGACCAGGGCCAAGCTGGTTTTCCACAAACTATGATTAATTACAAAATCGAAAAGAAAGGTAGCGAAAAGGAAGCTACCCATTCGTATGAAACCTCGCCAACGATCAAGATTACTTTTACTGCTTCGGAGAACTTTCCTCCGGTAAATTCAGGCGATTCAAAACGTACTTATGTATTTTCGGTATTTCTTGAACTGCTGCCTCCGGATAGTCGACCTGAATTCGAACAACTCGTACTGCAGGTACCACAAGATCGTCATCTTTGCAGAATACGGTAATCGAGTAGAATACAACTAAAGGAAGCAGTCGTTGCAGCATCTGGAAAATCTTGCAATTTCGAAGTAAAGTCTATTCAAGTCAGCGTTCTCCCGTAAAATATCAAAACTGCTAGTAGAATGCCCACTAAGACAGTCAGTTGGACTAGAGAGAATTTCCGATCAAAATTCAAAGCACCAGACGCTGGAACTGATACAAACATCGCCTCATAGCTCCAACTGGGGGAGTTTATTTGGCACATTAACAACGTGTAGCAATAGAAAATAGTGAGCAGGGGGACAGGAGGGGAAAAGCCACCTGCTCCAGCATGACAAGTATCCTAAATGTGCAAGTAGGTCGGCCTTTTTCCGAGAGAGCAGTCGAACAGAAACAATAAATCCACCTATAGAAGTTTATACAATGCATACTTTCATTAACCACATCTTAATTGGTTTCAAAAAGCTTATGTTAGGACTATAGATGGTGAAAATTCTGCGTTAAAGCAAGGTACACATGGTGCCATCGCTTTTTTGAATTGTTTAAAGAGACTGAGAAAATCGAAAACAGAATGAACGAAGGCAATTGGTACCAGGGATGACCCACAAGCGCCGCGGCGCAGTGAAGATTTGCAAGAACTGTAAAAGTTTTTAAGAGCTCTATAAAAACCGGCATAGATCGTAGCGAACTGCGAAAAGTCGTAAATGGGACCTAGGAGTTGAGATTTTTCTTGGACCGAAATTGGACAAGCTTTCGATCGGCACAGGTACACTAGTTAGAGAGGAGAACAGGAGGCGCCATGAGAATGCTGTAGTAAGATGAAGGAAGAAATAAGCCACGTTTATTCCCTTTCTGTTGGTCTTAATCATTACAAAATAATGTCCAAAATAATTTCTCTGTAGTTAATAAGTCAGTCAAAACTCAATAAAATGGTTCTGAAAGAATGAATATAGTAACTGCCATGAATGGCATCCTGTCAGGCCTAAGCTGTCGAGAGTTGGAATTATTGATATCGTGAAATCACTAGCTTGGGTGCTTTGAACTTCGCACGTCATCATAGGGCGGGAAACCCGTCCAGTCGACTTTTAGATTTCCAGCGAAGATTTTACGTACAGCTCAATACATAGAAAGCGATCAATCAGATTGTCACCTCTATGATTATGATTTTGGTGGATATAGGCTCTGTGTTGATGAGGTTGTCCATCTAGAACCGCTCCAGCCCTCCCAAATATATAACCTCAATATATGAGAGCTGTTGCCGTGGTTAAAAGCGGTAGTGAAAATTAAATACAAAGTTCCGGTAACCAAAATTTTATTAGACACCGTTGGACAGAATGATGCAAACCATGGAAGACAACGACGTTCGCAGGAAACCGTGAAGGTCTTGCGAACGAGTTCTCGTGAGAGTAACCTTGTAGAAGAAAGGCTGCCATGAACCGGTATGCTGTGTGCTATTGCAAATATGCATACGATTCTAGGAATGCCAGGAATTATCCATTTACAAAATTGGTATTCCAATTGACCGCTCTTCGTGACAAAACTTAGTAGTACCTAGACGAACCATGCAGTACCTTTGCCCTTTGTCCTTGAAGATTCTCATGGATAAAGGATGAAGTTAAAGTGTGTGAAGTTCAGCCCAGTTTCAGTATGCTCCTATTATTCGACTTCCAATCAGGATCGTGGTTGCGTATGAAGCGTATGTGGCTTTTACAATGACCTCCGCCGGTGAGCCGATGTCCAAGTCAGCGCTTTTATCCCCCCAGAAGAGTATGGTAGCGCTTAACCGAAACGGGCAGGATGGAATAGTCGACGGCTCTGGCGATAATGCACGAGGAATTCGGATAGAGCTCAGATTTGGCTAGCTGTGAAACGAAAGAAATTGCTGATCGGTAGTCCTACTCTGCACGTTGACCCTCATTAGCACAGTTTTTTCTTTCGCAGTAAAGTTGAACGATACTGACATATTAATGAGTGGAGTGGTAGGCCTGGGTCAGACGTGGTATTTAGGTTCTGTTGAAAAAAGTTCGGAAACGCTTTTAGAATTTCGAGAACCGAGTCCTTCGACGATGGAATAAATAAATAGACTTCCTCAAAAGCCGATGAGTCGAGTGGCTGTAGGAAAACCTATGTTCATGGTTCAGGTGAACGTGAACTTTAAAAAATATCCGATCGAAAACCGAAAGTCTGGGCAGGTGTTATCAAACGGAATAAGTTTAGCGAAGTGGCCATCAAAAAATAAGTGATAAAAACTAAGCCAAATTATGAGATCGCGGGAAATGACTGAATCTATGAGAGACTTAAATTCAGGAAACTTTCGATTTCGAAGGCTCATACGGACAAATTCGAGGTCAGTGCATCTCTTTAACCTTTAAAGCAGCTGTGTGTAGCTGCAGTTTCAGCCGAAAATGAAGTATACCCGCTCAATGGACATCTTGGCGGAGCGAGCATGTTTATCTTACAAAGTAGGTCTGTGAATGGCAGAAGACTAACTCAGCACAGAGAAAGAGTGACAGAACTTCTCTCTAAGTTCCCAGGCAAGTGCCAGCGGCTCCGCAGCGTGCCCTCCACCGAGGATTGAAACCTTTTTTCGCAATACATAGTGCGCGACTGCGCGCATTGGATGCGGCGAGCGCATGGCGATTTCCGGGAAGAAGTACCCACAACCGGTGGAAGGCGTAGCGAATTGAAGATGCTTCACTGTGTCGAATATGCTCTCTGAAAGCAAAGTTCGGTAACTTTACGGGATACGACAGAAGTTTGCTGCTACCAAAAATAGACGACCAAAACAATCAAATAAGACTCGAGCTATGGCGGTTCACTGGGTAACTGGGACGGGGATTCAGTTCGGCACTTGGCTCTTACAGTAACCCCCTGGCTTACCCCACCGCCCACCCCGGTGTCCTTGCCCAGAGCCTCTGCTCGTCTCTTACAGTAACACCCTGGCTTACACCACCACCCACCCTCGGGTCCTTGCCCAAAGCCCCTTTTCGACGCGTCGTATATGTGACGGGTAAAAATCTGCGTATTAACACGTGCCAGATTAATGTAAGAGCCGAGTGCCGGACTGAATTTTCGTTCCTGTCCTTCTCACTGCTTCCTTGAAGACCCATATTCCTTAAAACCCGACAATTTTCGCGCTTTCTTCGCCATTTTTGCACTATTCTATACCATAACTCCCATTATCCACTTAAGTTAGATACCTCAGAGTTAACGTGAAGTGTGCCTTAGTCCATCCCTTCAGTAGCAGTCAAATCCCCTGTCTTCGAGTAAACTTCCCCACAATAATGTAGTATCTGAGAGCTTCCCACGAAGAACATTTATGGGATAATTCGATATCGTTTGAAGACACTTTTTTGACATTCCTGATATAAAAGGAGCAGATATAAAATATTATGAGCAATATAATCATGTGACCCGAGACGACACTTCTAACGAGATGCCTACGATAGCCCTAGCGGAATATGAAAAAGTATCAACAAACCTGCTCTGTTCCACGAGGAATTCCAAGGAATTGTGTAGTGTGTCGTTGTTTTTGTCAAGAAATTGCGCTGTCTGATAGCAAACAGTTCCAGCGTAATGCCGAACGAGGAACGCCTCATCTTCACGAAGATCCCGATGCTGTCGTAGACGTGAACGACGCGGACTCTAAACGGACCACTACTCAAAAAAAAAAAAGAAATTGGAGGATAAAAGCAGCTGAAAATGTTGAATAATTGGCATTGGATAGTACTAATATATCACATTGTATATTTGCTATTGTATCTTGAAGCCCAACATTTCGATTGATAGCTGACCTCCAAACGGAAATGCCCTTTGTTAGATCCATAAGCTGCCATTGTATAGTGCTGAGGTGTGGGTCGAGGTAGACGAGACTCTTCGTCAAGTAAATCGAGCAAGCCGGATGGTTTTTTCTCGAAGAGCTCTTAAAATCGAATGGCAATTGAAATAGTCGACATGAAAAATGAAGTGAAGTTCAATTTAGCACGAATATGTTGTAATTAGAAAATAAAAAGTCTGACTCGTAAACTTATACTCAAGTTCTAAGGGATACAATGTCGTGCAGTTTTGGAACAACCCGGACGCTATCATGATGTGCACTTTCTCAAAGGCTTATTGAACGCTAAAAGTATGTTTTGAGGACAGGTACTGTTGCTGAGAGGGTACATACACAGTAGAGCCGATACTTGATCCCAGAAATCGCGGCAAAAAAGTTCGGAGGGGGGAGGGGATCAATAGAATAGGAACAACGGGCTACGGTAATAAGGGTAATGGCTGCTTTCATAGTCCGCCCGCGTGCGTACCGGCGTGCCAAACACCAAACAACCAGGTGCTTGTGCAAATGGTTTTTGATCCTGTCTTTCTTTGTTTACAGCCTTTCGAAGGGGTTTGGGCGCAACGCGACCGCGTCGATCGACCGTCTGCCTCCCTCCTTGTCACACACGTGACTAGAGGATGAAGCATGAGAGCATTACTCAATNACGGGGATTCAGTTCGGCACTTGGCTCTTACAGTAACCCCCTGGCTTACCCCACCGCCCACCCCGGTGTCCTTGCCCAGAGCCTCTTGTCCTTGCCCAGAGCCTCTTTTCGACGCGTCGTATATGTGACGGGTAAAAATTTAATTTAACACGTGCCGGATTACTGTAAGAGCTGAGTGCCGGACTGAATTTTCGTGCCTGTCACTAGATATATGCACGGAGTTTTCTTATGCTTCTGTGCGGAGGCTAATGCTGTGTTCGAGCTCTACCAACGATTGAAGAACGGGCACGCCGTTGCTTTCGCTAATGAATCCAAGATCAAGATGGCTGGTGATGGCTGTTGGGCCCGACAGTTATTGACTGGATCTCTAAGGACGTCTAGAAAACCCTGAACGGATGTCAGAATGATGGTCCACATCCTATGCCTGCCCCTCAAGCGGGTAGGGTACAAAAAACCGAGCTGCTCACGATAGGGGTCAATTGTGCCTGCTTGATAATCATCGGGAAGATAGGTGATACCAAAGTAGAAAATCGAAGACGATTCCTCTCCAATGAGAGAAGGCAACGGAACGATATGTGGTGAATCCAGCGCGACGACGTTCTCTCTTCGTTTTTGTCGCCACCGAGTGAATATAAGCGAAATAAACATGCTGGCTTTTGAAGCGATTCAAATGTGTTTTTGGCTGTCTGGCGAAAATGCGAGACGAAACAAGTTCCGTGGTCGATTACGGAACATGAGAATGATGATCAACTGAGGAATGTCTGATGCTCACCCAGATAACAACATTACATTTATCTTCTCCCTGACATAGCATGAAACTGTGCATTGCCCTATTTTAAATACATTGATAATTACGTTATATGAGTAAAAGAGTTGGAGTAGGAGTCGACGGCAGAAGCTCTCATCCTCCGAGTCCCGATCACAATTCATCAGTGCCAATTGAGCCAAGACTACTCTTCTCTTATGTCCTGCTAGGAACGTTAAGTGGTGACAGGTAATTCTGAAGAAAAAATTGTTATCTCCTTCATGAGCTTGTTCCTAAATGTAGCTCTTTAGGCCAAAATCATTGCTCCGCCCATGCCACTTGATTCAGATTGAGAGTAGTATCCATGGCGCACTCTTGAAATTCTAGAAACAAGAGCCTCCCGAGACAATTGGAAAGGAAATGGATCGAACATAGGCTTTCAGTAATCGGTCCAAGTTCCACAAAAGTAAAGATCCAAAAATGAAGACTATTTTTACAACACATAAAAGGATTCAGGACAAATCAGCAGAGATACAGTATTCGGAATAAGGACATGGTTTAAAAATAAAAAAATGCACTTGAATGAAGAGTGGGGGGGGGGGGGGTGCGACGATCGGAGACCTGCTTTGAAACTGTCATAACCCAATGGATCACCCTCCTGATAGATCACTACCCGTCGGAGTCTTGGATTAAGGGCTAGGTATAAGTTAAAGCTGGATAGAGCTGTACCGCGGAAGGTAGTGATCTAAAAGCCATGATATAAGCTCCCAAAGCTGTCTAAACAGGTGAGGGGCTCCTTATTGGGTCATAGGGGATATCAAAGGTTCCACAAAGTAAAAACTCAAGAGTACCGCTATGGAGAGAGGTATAATGTCTGGCCAAATAGTGTAGTAGCTGTGAGAAGGTGCCAGAAATAAGCAAGATTAGCAGTGTTGAGGTGGCTGGTTGGCGAAGCCGTTGTAGAGGCGTCTGTACGCCCACTGGAACCAACTGTGGCCTACTGGTTTTTCTCGATCAGCGTGAAACCGCATCAGCTGCTAATCATCAGAATGGCATTTCGCCTTACTGCGAATGATGCTGGATAAAACAAGACTCAGAGGACGGACAGTGATCCCACTTCCTAATGAGAGTGGGACGGAAGTTGTTTGAGAAGGTATCCTACAAGAGAATTGTTGGAGAAATTGTCTTTTCGCTCTGTGTGTTGAAGCCTAAGCCCGTTTGGAAAGATTCTTCAAAAGATAGAAATTTTATGAAAACTTTCTGTATGGAGAAGCACCTGGCCGACCCTTTGTGGTTCTCATCGTTCAAAACCGGTTGGATCGAGATTTGCGACCGAATCGTCGGCTTACCCCACTGTCGACACAAACCCTTTGTAATAGCTGTCATAAATAAGGAGGTCGGAATACGTGGAGAATACCCTCACCGTACAGGCTTTAAACAGTACTGCGAAGTTGCTTTGCTGCCTCCCTGATGACAGCTGGATATATTTAGATTTAATCAAAAATCAAGGGGCCAGATAGCCAGGACTTCATTTGACGACCTTCAGATCAGATGGTGTGATAATTGAGAATGCTGATTCGGTTCCCTCTAACTCTGGGAAGTTTCATAGGAGAAATTAGCGCCCATGTACTTCTGCTGCAGACTTTGGGCTGAAATAGACCGTAAAACCCGCCGGTGTTCGGGTAGTTCAAAGCAGGGCTACATTCACAGATTTCAGATCAGCTTTTTATAGAAACGAACTGCGCCACGGATTTCAAGTCTTACTTTTTTGGTATAGATTCCGTTTTCTAACAAAGTTAAGTTAGCGGCAGCTGCTGTTGTCAATTCCAACAAGAGCTGTCCTTCTGTGAAAGTCCTTCAGAAGCATCTACAGTCACAGCGTTGTCTGCTAAAAATAGGTATGACCAAACTTGACTTCAACAAGCACTCGCACCAGTTGCTTCTTTGCTATATAACTCATCACCCTTCCACTATGAACTTATGGAGGAGTGGTTTGACTACATTCCTGAAATCCTGCCCCATCTTGCCATACTAGAAGTTGAGATTGGAGTGCGTGAAACCTCATTACCTTGCTCCGGAAAGGGATTGTAAGAATTGCAAATACGACACAATCACTGACGATTCTGAAGAAAATGAGGAGAAACTGATTTTCCAGGATTTCAGAAACCAAAGCCGCCGTCTTCATTTGGATAGCCTCATTTTTCCAGAATTAGAGCAGAATATGGTGCGACAGAGGAGGATAGCAATCTCTGTGCTCATAATCGGATATCAAAGTGAGTGCCAGAATAGTCAAAAGTTCTGCAGTCGACAAGACAGAAATCTGGCAGGGAATGGAACCTCTATCGCAGTCGCAGTACGTGACAATATCCGTCTCCGAGTAGGAATCTGAAGCTGCCAGGGCGACCAAGCTCTGAAGTGGTCCGTCGTTTAGTTGCAGACTCGTTTTGGAGGATTGCTATTTGGACTTGAACAGTGGCTGGCATCTGGGAACAACTGCAGAGGCTAAGAACCTTTGTAGCGATGCCAGAAGCCAGCTTCTGGAAGAGAGTCTGAGCACCAGCATAGAGTGCTTTGCCTTTCGTCCCCACAATAATGACAATGACTTTTACCTGTACAGAAGGTTCTTAATGTACTCCCCGAGCTTCAGGTATACCTACTGCGTTTAAACTCTACTTTTTAGACATCTAGATGTGGGCCTAATATAGCACACGACATTTTTAATTGTGCTACCATTTTAGTAACGAATCGTGTTGGAATCACCTTTCGCTTGGACGAAATAGAAATTGCTACCTTCAGGTTTTTCTACCACTCCGAGAAGGGAGGTTATCAACGAAATATTGAGCGAATTCACTGCTCCGAGCTGATAGTTCATTTATTCGACTTCGTTTTTAAGATTAATGGCTCATCTATGCAATTTATAACTGCTCTGACAATAAAAAAACTGAAAAAATTCTGAGTTTTAGAGACATGAAATAATATTTTTGGGATTTTGCAATTTCAAAAAAAAAACATAATTTAAGAAGCATAGAAAGGTCCGCGTTTCCAAGGCTAGTTTCTGCAGGTTCTCATCGGAATTCTTCCAAAATGAAAAGACAAAGTCGCTCATGAGCACCAGGGTACAATTGTATAAACTCTAGTAGCTTCGAAAGAATCTTTCATCACACATGGTTTTCGAAATGAAAAAAACTTGAGATAGCCTCAACGAAAAGAGAAATGACCGTCATAAAAGAGTGGATGTCAGATGTCGGACCATTGAACAACATAAAGTGTCCCGTGTAGATATGCAGTAGATTAGAATCGCGCTTGGCACATTTCCGACAAGGTCGCCGATCGCCTTCCTTCGCCATGGTATTAGACATGATGATCCTATGGATTAACCTTGTTTCAGTTCTGAATTCTAGGATGACCTGGTTCATTTTTGAGACAGGAAATGGGCTGCTAAGACGATTCTCTTTTGGGGGCGGAAAATTTTCCTTGAAGACCCTTTCGCAAAGATTGGTTCTTGAGTAGATAGCTTTGGTATGGTTTACGTGATAAAAGCGAAATTCACAAAGAGCGGGCTGTAACGGAAGTTATCATGAGGTTATTCTACAAACTGTTCAACAAAGTGACTACCCTCAACTCGATCACTTACAAGTACAGTTCACGATAATTCAATGGACGGGGACGTCAAGGCCTTCCCGCCTCTCCATCGATGTCACGTCAGGACCGATTGCAATTTTTCGTTCTAGGACCCACACACAATCAGCTGTCGCCGAGTGATGAGGCGATGTTTTTCCCCATTCTTTTTTCCTCTGCTATTCTACTTGCTGCCGCGATCCCTTATCTAATTTCCTACTCCTAGAGGCTGAAAAAGGTGAGCTACTTTTGTTGTTACTAGGGTTTTTGGTTTTGCTTATGCTTAAAAGTAAATGAGTTTTCGCTTACCATTGTCTTTTATTCGCACCAGGACACACAAGTACATTGTATAGCTCGTCCAAACGCCCAACTCTTCTTCATTTTTCTGAACTCATTCACGCCCAGCCCCTTTTTAACGGTTTTTCTAAGCGTTTTTTCAGTTTGGAAACACCGATTCGCGCAGTTTCTCCACCTTCACCGCACTATTTCCGATCTTGTCGTCCATTTTTCATCATATCTAGACCATCTAGAATTATCGTAAACTGTGCCTTGAATTTCTGCTTTTCGGAACCGTGCATCCGTGAAATCTGAGAATTTTTGTTCTATAATTCTATGAATTTATTCAGTGGCAATGGTTGCAGCCAGGATTTTAGCCAGTACAGCATCTCCACTTTACCTAGGCAGCTTCGTAGAGATTTCTGCTGCAAACCTCCTTTCAGCGAACTAATTACTACTGTGGACATTTGGACGCTAAGTGGCAGTTTCAAGCAAGATTTTCCGGATTTTCCTACAACACCTGTCCGCAAATAACAGTAATTGTAGTATACACTTTGTAAAACGCTCGGAAACTTGTTTCGGATTTCATCATCTTCGACGGTGAGAGAATGCATAGTAGCAAACAATCCTAAACAGCAGAAGAGTCGGAGTCCTCGAAAAGAAAGGCTGATTGCCAAAAACTGCTAAAATATTCTGATTTTAAAAAATTCAACATAAAAAGTGTTATTTCTGGTTCTATTGCAATGTTGCGCAGCAGAATCTGGGCATGGACAGGATTTCATCCTGCAATCACTCCTTTCCAGCACCTCACTTCTCCGTTACTCTAAAGCTCCCTTCAACTGCTTGTAATGTGTCCGTTCAGACTCAGTGATGACGTTTCAGCCAGTTCTGTAATACCCCTCCCCTACCCGTCTCCCTCCCCCTCCCCCCTTATTTGACCTCTGTTTAAAATCATAGTAGCATTTCGAATACGTATGTGGTCTATAAAGGGAAATGGCAGCACCCTTATCCCTTTAGCCAAATTTATTGAGAATTAACTGACACCTTAGAGTTGGAAAGCTTGCTTAGATCAGGCGTGTACAATCGCTCAGCTATTGTAATGATGGGCCACCTGCATAGCACCACACCTCCTCCATCTCTGAATTGACTAAATTAGTTATCATAAAAGTATGATTGTCATACCCGTTATGAAGTCGATCTTCTAGGAACTCGGTTTGATAGAGAAATGTCAATTCTACTAAGGGACTGGCCTACAGGTGTGAAGGTGAAGAAATCTCTGAGGAGACTTCGGAACACTTTGCTTTCAGTATACTTTTTTTATAGTTTTAATTAGAGCAATCAATTTAAGCAGCGCCATGCAGTTCGTTTTTATTCAAGACCTTGGTGCATTCTTCTACTGGAATGTGTTATATAGGCTTGTATTCGGCTCATTGAGCAGTTTTTCTACTTCTCCTTCCCCCTCCTCTCACTATCCTACTCCTTCCACACTTAATAGAAATTGAGTTCGAGCGCTTTTGGGGCGGAATGGGATTCACAATCTGTGTTGGAGGGAAATGCTCCTCTTGTCAGAACACTGCTTCTGTTGTGGTCGAGTTCAGACATAAACATAAACACCAAATTGACTCTTGACCGCCAGTGTCCACAGCCCAGCTAGTTTTCTATCGTTAAGCCTCCTAGACCATCTCACTTGCGCTGATTTTCTCAACTAAGCCTACCTAGACATTTCGAACTTATGAATACAGAGAACAAAAGCATTTTCTTCAAAGTATCGCATTTCGAAGGACATTCACCTGCTCAGAACCAACAAAAGTGTGTCCTTTTCAATGGACAAGGAATTGCTAGCTCTGTTCCTAACTCCTCAAAAGAGTACTTGAGTCAGGCTTTCATGAGTGCAGTACTGTGAGTACATTTGTCTCACAATCAGTCCCTTGGTCAAGGCATTCTTTCGGACACTCGAAAGCACAAGTGAAAGGGAGTTCAATGTGAACTTTAAGTGGATTCCTCTCAAAGAAAGCAGGGAGAATCAGGGTCTGAGCCAAAGGTGTAGTTAGCGCTGTTGATGACGGCTGTACGATCTNAAAAGCATTTTCTTCAAAGTATCGCATTTCGAAGGACATTCACCTGCTCAGAACCAACAAAAGTGTGTCCTTTTCAAAGGAAAAGAGATTGCTAGCGCTGTTCTTAACTCCTCGAAAGAGTACTTGAATCAGGCTTTCATGAGTGCAGTACTGTGAGTACATTTGTCTCACAATCAGTCCCTTGGTCAAGGCATTCTTTCGGACACTCGAAAGCACAAGTGAAAGGGAGTTCAATGTGAACTCTTCGTGGATTCCTATCAAAGAAAGCAGGGGAAGCAGGGTATGACAGACCGAACGTGTAGTTAGCGCTGTTGATGACGGCTGTACGATCTGACTCTTGACAAACGAGAAGCTTTGCTTAACCTTTAGCCCTTGAATTCTTCCTGAAGGGCCCTTCGTCAAGAGATCTTATGGAAGCTTGCTCCTATAAAAAAATCGTGTTGACTATTTGAAGGTAAACGTTAAAGAAATCGATTTCTATGAGGAGAGCTGGAGATTGGGAACTACCTGACTGCCCACAAATCATTCGAAAGGGATTATAAGCTCCTCGAGTAGCCCGGGTCGGAGAACTTCAGTGGGCAGCGGCGAGTAGCCAGTGCACGACAACATCCTGTTTGAATGCCAACGTCAATGCTGCATTTCATTCCATTCTGAGTACCAATCAAGTTGTTTACTTATTTTCCTTGAATCATAAACATCAAAACGCTTTTGAGATCAGCTGAAATTGGCCTGGCCATGGTTATCTTCAGCATTTACGTAAGAAAGGAATTATAACTGCAAGTGAAGCCTCATAACTACAAAATGAGCCTTGCAGGAATAGGAAACAATCAGATGGCTCGGAAAAACCCACTTTTTCATCTGTGGAAGTCCGTGACGGTTGCCTGAAAGACGAACCTCCAGGAATCCGTTGGAATTGTCAAACATATAGAGTTTTTCTATAGGAAACCTCACCTGGATCAACATCAATCACTTGAACGGGAGTGCTGTGGCTTTAGAAAGTAGCGCCACTCCCTCTACATAACTTTGAGAAACATTTTTTCCCCTGAGTCAGGACCTCTCATTTCTCAAGCCACCTTCCTTCCCCGACAATCGGTTTTTTGTGACTGGCTAAGAACGCTATACATCAACTAGTTCCCATTTTGTATGGATCACTTCAAATTCCACTGAGCCTCTTGGCAAAGGTCAAACGCTTGGGGCTACTTAAAAAGTCCTCTGATCAATCCTAAGACAGAAAAGTATCAGAACAGCATTGAAATTCTGGGAATTCCACTTCAGCCAATCTATTTAGTAGAGTTAGCAAGTTTGACTGGCAGGGCGGTGGCTTTTTGCTAGCCTAATCCAATCAGAACCCTAAAATACACTTTCCCAGACAGGAGCTATCGCTGAACACCACTCATTCATCGAGCTCTTTGTTTTCAGGCTTGCTGCCTAGGGGGCAGGGCGGTACGGCGACTGGTCCCCTCAATCCAAACATTTCGCGACACAGCCGAAGGGTTCGCCGCCTTCCCGTCCGTCCGCTTCCATCGCTTGTCCATCCTACCCCATCCCGATTGTTTGCTTTTGTTTTCTTATGCTTAAACGACCACAACATGTTGTCCTTAAGCACTCCGAAGGTCCCACTATTCTCGCCTATCCCATTTTTAGACTTTCTCCTTATTATCACTAATTATCCAATCTATACATTGTTATATACACAACTAACCAAAAAAGAGGATTCCACCTCCGAACACTGCTAACACTATTTCAGTGCTGTCAAACTAAATCAAACTTTGTTCCTGAGCTTCTGATGGACCCTTTCACTGTTTAGATGTCTTCAAGACATGTTTTGAACCCAAAATCAGGAAAGTAGGGATTCATTCGTCTGTGATACCGGCTCATCTTCAGACTACTTTGGCCTCTAGGCTCTCACCGAGGCGAGAATGTCAAAAGGCTAGCGAAATTTGTAAACTGCTGTAATCTCTTTTATGACTTCGAGAATCACCTTTGAACCTCTCTTCTCTTTTTGTCTTTTTTGAAAAATTCTTCCTTTTTGTCGCTTAATACAAAGACAGATTCGAGTGGCTGGTAGTCTGTGCCTCTCCATAACACTTCTGATAACGCTTTAGAATTTACACTTCAATTTTTTCTCAAGTCGGTAAGTAAGTAAGTATAAATCGGTTGATTCTTGAGCATAAAGCTCAGAATTGGGTCCGGTTTTGGCATGTCGATAAGTAAGGCCAAGCAGGCTTAGTTAAAGAAATGTGGTCGAAGAACCATGGGTGAAAAAGGGAATGGATGAGTGAATTTCAGGATTTTCGTAAGTTCATCGATTTTCATGGCCATCAAACACGTCCAATTTTCTCCCTCCTCGAAAAGATTCATGATAGATTTGAATAGAAGAGATTTGAAAGGAGTTGGAGTAAAGTGCTGATCGGATCGAAAGCTAACCGAATGCCATTTTCCTGCAGGACTGCTCACTTGAACCATTTTGGAAATTTCTGAACGGAAGACTCCGATTTGAGCATTAAGGATGACTCAAATGATTTTTTCGGAGGTGCTTCGTTCTTTCAAGGAAGAAACTTAGATGCAGTGGAATCATGGCCTCCAAGGTTACACATAATATAATAGAAATATTAAAGCGATATATCAATAGATGGGTGACAAAAACAACACAAGAGCAGCATTCTATTCCATGGTTCATCATACGATTTCCTCGATCAGCTGATAGTGGACATAAAGTGGTGCCCTCCCCAGGCATGTGTGCATTTCTATGAGCTCTCATCAAAGAGCAAGCAAATCATTCGGATCGATAATGTCTCTTTTTTAAAGCTTGTTTATCGATTGTTTGGTCAATATTTCAATACCCTGTCTCAACAATTGTCTGATCAATCGATAATTGATTGATTTTAGTTTGTTTCTGCTTATGTTTTTTGGACTGTCATTGTCGGAGTACGCAATCCGCAAGCCTCACAATGTTGGCGAGTTGTGGGCAAGACTTTGGTCTCTAACGGGACTTGAACCCGCATTTGTGCTATCCCGGCACCGTGCATGATAGTCTGTGATTCCTTGGAGTTTTGTGAAAATTTACATAATAACATTGACCTAGTCAATGCATAAAATTCTAAAATGAGGAAGTGATTACACTGAAGCTTTTACGATGCTATAAAATGGTCACCCTCATGCTCTGGAATTACCTCACACCATTTTGGTTTTTCCTCATTTTTACTCCTTTGCCCTACCCACTTAACATTTTTTCGTGGTGTGTTGCGATTTTCCCTGTGGTTGTAATGCAATTGGGCAAAAAATGATTGGAAAATGGTTACCAATTCATTTATTCAATCCATTTGTAAAAAACAAAGCAGATCACCAACATATTTTCAGTTTTACAATGTGCTCCATAGGAGAAATCTGCTCACTGAATTTTACTAAATTTTGTTTTTATTAAAGTACTGTGTTACTGTAATAATGTCAATGTCAAATCACTTTTGGAATGACTGAATCCCTGGTCAAAATTGTTTTGTTTTAGTAATCTAGTCTTTTTTTTTTTTGAAGTTTCTTTTTTGAAGGGGGAGAGAAGGGGGAGCGGAGCGGGGAGGAGGAAAGAGAGGGCTGGTTTTTGCCAGGGTCTGANNTTGTATAATAGAATGGTAAACGATTCGCTTTCATATTTATCAACTTTAGGTACACGCCAATTATTGAACTAACAAACAGATCCATCAAAATCTTCGAATCACGCAATCGGTCAAACCTCTAGAATTCCATTTCTTAGGTGGTAGTTTCACCTTACCATAGGTGTTCCTTGATTTCCCACTGAATTGTAGATCTTTTAATACCGCTTCTATCCACATTTTCGAGACCCACATGCTCCATGCCTTCATCTTATGGTTAGTTTCTGAACAGTAGCCTTTCTGCAGACATTTCGAATATGAATTCAGAATGAATTTGCAATTGCTAACACGCCCACAACCCTTGCCCCGGTTCCTGGATGAAGAGAACGGAATACACGCACGGTGGAGAATCAAGGCGAGTTAATTTCTCATAATTGGATCAACTCGAGGGGCATTAGGGATAGGGGCGAAGAAAGGAGCTCCTTTCCCTATCCCTCTCAGGCTTATCACATATGTTAAGCCCTATAGTTCCGAATTTGCAAATCGCTCTGGGTCAACTTTACCTGTGCCTTTGGTAAACGAGCAATCTCCAACCCACGACTCTCGATCCTTTATTCCCTGATATCAGAAGTTGCTACGTTGGAAAGACTTTTCTAAAATTCCAAATAAACTCCAATTTCAAATTTTTAGGGCTTTTTCTACAGAAAAACCCGTTTCCCCAAGTGGTCGTTGAAAGGAGAAGCTCGGGTGAAGTATGCTTCGTTGGTAGTTCAAGGACGGTACCCCTGCTGGGAGAAACGCATCGCACTGGTGAGTGGCTTACTACACCAAAAATGAATATCTCTCACTCCATTGTTTATAAGAACGAGCATGAGTTTAGACATAGTAAACATTTGCTTGACAATTGTTTTTGTTTTATTTTTTGTTTAGTCGTAATCACCCAACAATAGGAATGTGTCAGTTGTTTGGCAGTTGCTTGCAATCTGCTTTTTACACATTACATACGTTGCTATTGTTTTGGAAGGACCCTACTACTTTGTATAACTCGTTGGTAGCTCAGGGACGATATCATTGATGGGCGGTTGTAGTGGTAAGTGGTGCACTTTCACACAAGCATGGTCCAGGGACCGTATGTATCTCTGGTCGCAACCCGTTTGGGTTTGCTTGGTCTTACTTCCTCCGTGGTCCTCTTTTTGGTGCTAGATTCGTCTGGAAGGATGAAATCACCGACTGATGAGTTGATGGCTACCGCAAAGTACCATGTAGGCCACATACGCCATCAAAAAGCCGCTATGATTCTGAATGGGCGTACAACGCGGGTTGCATCTTGAGAATGGAACTGATTAAAGCCAGGCCTCTTTTTCCGATAATATTCAAAATTTTTATTTCCTTTATGAAGAATGGCTCAAGGAACAATTACTCATCCCTAAAATGACTCCGAACCCAATCCAAGTAGTGTTTTTATGGGATAAGCACATATTTATTAAATTAAAATACGTTCAGGGTCTCTATTAAACAAAGGACAGAATTTGTAAGAATATGACTTACTTTAACATTAACTAATGGCATTTTCCTTTTAGTAAACAGTTTAGGTCGATGTGGGTTATGTCGAAGATGAGAACGACATCCTTGATGTTCGAGGGTGCAACTTCCGACTGTTACTATTCGGTGTAGACAATATAACTGTAAGTTACCTTTAAAGTTCCCAATCACTACCTAATGGCTGTTAGTAGTACTCAAAAATTACAGCAAGTTCGAGATTGGTTACGGTTTTTGATTTTACGACAACGAGTACCACATTCCCTAATTGGAAAGCCGTTTGAATGGCAGGTAAGGAGCACATATTACCTTTATGTACAGCGTATTACTTTCAATCCTAGTACTTCGGGC